CCCAGTCTGAGCTCTCAAGGACAAGGGCTTCCAAGAAAGGCTCTCCCTCCAGGGCCGGAGTTCTCACCTCCGGCTCCAGGCTCCAGGAGATCGGCTGCTTGGCTGCCCTGAGGGTCCCCTGCGTGCCCTGCAAGGGGACCAAGCTACCCGTTTCACCGGGAGCCTTCCGCACACTACCGGCTGCCGCTGGCCCCGCAGCTTCTTGTCGCGAGGTGCCCCCACCCCCTCACCCCCCGCGAAGCCGGGCTCTGCAGACCCGCTGGCGAGATGGCACGTTCCTGTCCCTGCCAGGCCCCCACCCCTGCCCGCCTGTGCCAGAGCCTCTGTCTCCCAGCCCCAGAGCACAGGATCGGTGACTTTTCTTGCAGCTCTGAGCAACCCTCTGAATGCTTAGACTTAATCATCACGGAGGGTGTGCCTGCTCGGCGCGTGTCTGCATGCTTCTGCATGTGTGCGGCTCGAACACACCACGCACGCTTGGCAGGATGGCTCAGGACCCGGCACTGTTGCATTCTGCTCTGCCTAGGTCGCTATGGGGAGTCGCTCTGCCTCCACAGCACCTAACAAAAGCCAGTGTCTATAGTTGGAGAGGTCTCTCTTACCTAGAACTCGGTGTGGGCATAGGTCATAGGACACAGCTTCTTTCTGGAGAGAGAAAAAATACCACCGTTCTGTTTATCGGAAGGGCCCCACCAAGCAAAATCCGGCAAAATGATCTAATGAGAATACGACCAGCACATAAAATAGTAATGACTTAAGACCTGTAAGAATGCTTGTGGGCATTCTGTTCCTTTCAGTCCCCCTGCCTCACGGGCGCAGCAGGCTGCATACAAGACTGCCTACTGCAGGCCGATTTCCCTGTTCTATCTGGTGAAAGCGGTTTCTCCCCCAAGCTTTAGAGCGGGATCCCAGGAGTTAACGTAGCTACTCTGTTTAATTTCAAGGCCACTGGGACTCCTCTATCAACCTTCCAAGAATCTGGAATCCCAGAGAGAAATTTAGTTCCCACTATTTCTTCTTATGACTCTGCTGGCTAGGGGAGGATCACTAATCAAGAGTCTGCTTGCTGGGGAAGCAGGAAAAGTCCTGAGGGCAAAGGGGCCTGGGATCACCAGTGCAAATGTGAGAAGCATTAGTGACAAAGTGATTGATTGGCCTTCCATGCAAGCACAAGCGAGCCAGGGTTCAGCTTCCCTCCAAAGTTCAGTCGCTGAAGAAGTGGTGGATTCTCCTTCCCTACTTAGGTAGCAGAGGCAAGAAGTTGGGAATAAAAACCCTAGGCTCCTGGGTTTCTCGCATAGATTCCCGAGACAAAGGTACAGGCACCCCACCTGTTCCCACCAGTTCATGTCAATGCCTCATCCAAATCGGCTGCCAGGAGAGTTGGCTCTGACTCAGGGAGACTTCATGCATGTCAGAGATGTGTGTTTCCTAAGGTTGTCAATAGCTCCTTTTCAAAGCAGATCACCAAGCACGTCACTCAAGACACCTCAAGGTGGATGCAAATCCACAACCTTAGAATTGTAACCGTTTATTAACGGTTATCATCACCCAAGACTCCATTGCTTCACCCGAGGCACCGCCGGGGCTGATGTAACTATTCAGTCAGTGGCAGCCAGCTAAGGTGTTACACCTCTTTGAAGATGCTTACATTTCAAAGGGGAGCTGACCATCAGAGCCTTTCCACAGCTTCTTGCATTGCACTGTGATTTGAGGAACACTGGGAAGCTTTCCTGCAATAAGAAAGGAAAAGTTATTGCTTGAAAAGATTTAGGCAAAGCTTTAAAGCAGTAAAAAGTTTTAAGAGATTTCTAATTTGATACAATTCAAGCAATGTAAATCCCCAATTCCCCTTTCTCACTTATCTATAATGAATGAGAAGGGATTGCGTTGAAAAAAGGGCTGCTTTCACTAAAGCTAGATGCTGTACTTGGCCTGGAAGAATGCTATCATTCCCATCTTTGATAAGAAACCTTGACCAGCTGAGATAGTTCTTTTAAGGTAAAACAATGTTAATTATCATAAAAGTAGTTATAATACTACTGTTTTATTTTTAATTTTTAGCAACTCAATGGCTAAAAGGAAATGAAGCCTAAATTAAGAAGCTTTCCCTGCTCCGGTTGCCAGGGGAACCTGGCTTGAGTCTCTGTATACACTGAGCATAGCTGCTTATGTGGAGCCCGGTTTGCTGGGACTGTATTAGACTAGTGAATACAAGCTTAGACAATGGGGAGGAAATATAAACAACTGAAACAGTGTACACAAAATATGAGGGTAAATAAAAAAGTGTTTCTACATGTACAGGTTTATCCCAAACAAAATGCGTTTGGAAATATATCTCTGGGAAGTAAGTCTCTGGGCTCAGTGGATGATTGCAGGCAAGTTCTCTCCGTTCCTCGTTTGTCTACCTGTCTTAGTGTCTTCAAATAAAAAAGTTCAAATCAGAACAGTGGCTTCTGAGGAATCTGCTAGGCTCGTTCTGCTGGAGGAGAGAGGTGAGCTCAGAAGGATGTGGTAACTGTTTGTTTTTTTTTTGGAGGAAGGATTCCTATGATTTGAAATCAACTCTATGGCAGTGAGGTTTTATGTTTTGTTTTATTTTGTTTTTAAGGGGTAATCTTGATTGATTCTTCTTTCAAAGGAGACAGGGAGATCACAAGGGCTCGGACAAAATTTCAGATTGTTGAAAACTGCTTTGGTGAGCAAAGGGCCAGGAGAATGACATTGGGGGTTCCCCCCCATCACAGCAGTGCTTCTCTCATTTCTTTGAAATTTGTCTGGGCTGTCCTTTAAGAATGTCATCTGGGAACTTGACCCTTTCCACCCTGCCTGAAATTGACCCTTCAGACTTCTTTTGATTCCCAAAACACACACACACACACACAAAAACCACTTAAAAGAAATACAACTTCTGAGTAAATGTTTAGAACATGATGGCAACATGTGTACACACATGCTTGATACAAATGATCCATGGAATGTAGTAAGAGCTGTAAGAGCTCCCAATAAAATGATTTTTTTAAGTAAAAAAAATACAACTTGTGTCCTTTGAAGATGCTGAGGTACTGTGAATTAATGTGGTCCTTCTAGTCACAATTCCTTGTGTGATAAATTATCATTCTGAATTCTATGCCCATGGCTATGAACCCCTTTTGGAGGGAGTTTCTGTTACAGGATTACAGGTGGGAGGGTATTGGGCATTTCCGTGAACTGAGAAGGAGCAGAGGGTATCCGGGCCTGGCACTCAAGGCAAGCATAAGTTAACAGAGAAGCTAACAGCAGGCTCATCAATGTGTTGAAGAGGTTAGATTGCAGCCTGATAGCAACACAGTGTCACACTCAGATTTGTGATTGTTGAAATGCCTGGTAGAAACCTTATTATCTGCAGTGGTGTCACATCTGGAGCATCAACCTCAGATTTCTTATCTTGAAACTCTTTATCTGATAGGATCCACAGGTTTAAGAATTCAGTGTTCAACTCTGCCTAGCCCTGGGTTGGAGATTGAGAGCAATAATGACATCAGTGATAATAAATAGCATATCAAGCACATGTGAGAATTAGTTCAAAGAAGGTGAAGACCGTCTCTGTGGTAGAAGGACACAAAAATAACTGTCAGATTTTAAGCAGACATTTAGCAGAAAGGAAAGGCATGGAGGATCTATGCTATGAAAGCACGAATATCCCAGAGTGTTTACACCCTCCTTAATGCTGCGACCCTTTAATACAGTTCCTCATGTTGTGGTGACCCCTGACCTAAAATTATTTTCGTTACTACTTCATAACTGTAATTTGGCTAAACTGGTTTACAGCATTTCACACATCTGGTTTCATTAAGATGAGAGCCCCATGGAGGGTGGGGGAAGGCAGGCCTGAAAACTGAAAGGGACAAGCCCCACCTCCACCCCACCCCCGCCACAGACAAATTGGAGAGCTGATAGGGCTGTCCTGGTGCTGTGAGGGGAAAATCTGGGATTTGTGCAAAGGACGGCTCCGGGGATTTGTGCAGCCAGGATTGCTTAGCAGAAGGGATGGTTAATTGGTTTTATTCTCGATGAGAGATGATTCAACCCTAAATCAAGGTAACTGCTGACAGGATTAAGAGGACACAATGATTTTGAGAGCCATCCAGGAAATCACATTGTCAAGAGTTACAGTGAATGTGGAAGTTAAGGAGTAGGAGGAGGCTAGGGTGGTTTAGGGATCAAGTAAATGAGGGTGCCATTGACTGGACTGGGAAATGCAGACGAGAACACAAGCTTTGGGGAGGACATAGTGAAGCCAGGAGTGTGGGTATTCTTTATATGCCCCCACATAAATTTCCTGGTTCACTCTGCTCTGTTTCTGGAAGGTTCTTTTAGGGTCTAGACAAAGTAAGACTCCTGGGACAGAACAGGAGGTGAGCGAAGTCTTCAGTTTTTATTCATCTCCCCTTCCCACCTTGACCAAGGAACAAGGGACTGCTTGTGCCCCCTAGTGCAGGGTACAGCTCCCTCTCAGAATGCCAAGAATGTCTTCATGCTCACTTAAGGCAGTATTAGCAGTTCAGTAAGCCACCCCATCCTACACTTACCCCACCCTCTTTCCCCTCCTGGGAATCCTGAATTTACCCCCTTTTGCAAGTCTCTTAAGATCTTTCTTTTATGAAATTTCCATAGTTACTAAGACTAAGGAGCTGG